CCCATATGTCCGTTATCTTTTGATTCAACGATAGGGTTTAGTCAAGTTAGTGGAAATCAAAAAGTTACAGGGTTAGTGTCCCTGCCTCCACTCATTTCATTCATTTCACATTTGTTAGATTTCAAATTAATGCTCAATATAAATATTCATAAGAATGGAAAGACTTAGGATATAGGATAATGTGTATGTATAACTTCGTTGCCCTTTGAACGGTTCTTTATTTTTTGTAAGCTAAACATTATTTAGCTAATTGTCGCTTCCGTTTTTATTTCTTTCTGTGGTTAGACTTGTAGTTCATACTGAAGTACGAAGTTCGTGTACCAATTTTGGTACAAGCTTCAACCACTGTTTACAAGACAAATCCCTCTATCTTTTGACCATTTCTGTGTGTATATCTATTTAATTTATATTTAATTTTTCAATTTATTTTTAAAACACAAACACAAATAATTATTTTAATTAATTAATCTAATCATTAATGAATGCGGACATTATCAGTCATTTTATTTATTTATTTTCTTCTTCAATCACTTTTTTTCAATTTTCCACTCCATTTCCTTTTTCTCTCTCTTTATTTCTTGCTCAAGAATTTTGATTTATGCTTGTTGATACATTTATTTAATTAATTATTTAATTAACAAATTTATATTTTGGTTAATTATTTTTGTGTATTTATTTTTGATTAAACTTCTCTCTTTTTTCCTTATTATATTAATTTTTAGATTTTTTTATAATAGTTTGGAATTCGCCCCTTTTTTCACAGTTTTCCTGACCATTTTGAGCTTTTTTTGTTTGATACATATTTTATCGTATATCTTTCGAAAGAGCTCTATGAGCTTGGTCGAATTATAACATGAGTGGCTAGATCTGATCATTCTTACCAGAACTATGATGCTAAATCAAAGTTTTTTGTTGCAAGGGAATAAAATAAACGGTTACAACTTTGTTCATTTAAGTTACTTTAATTAATTTTAATGTCATTCGACTCATCTCGAAGAGCTCTTTCGAACGATATATAATTTGCCATAAAATGAGAAAAATGGAAGAAAAAAAGTGGTGAATTCATAACTATTACCGATTTTTTTTGTTTATTTCTAATAATTTCAAAAAAATTTTTATTTTTATGTAAAACATTTTTCTGATTTCACCAATACCTTCAAGAAAATAATTTTACAAATTAATTTTTAAATCTAGCTCTGGAATTATCCAGGCTTCCAAAAAATAACGTTATCTTCTTGAGCTTCTTTAAGCATGTAAATTTTACAATATTTACTAAACTTTTAAAATAAAATAATTTATATGTTTCCTATTTAATTTTCGGTGTCTACTTTCAATAAATAAAGTAGGGGATTAAATGTATAATTCACGCAAATATACAGGGTATTTTAGCTAAGAAGCATTAATTGAAAAATTTAATAACTTTTTACTAGGTTGGCAGATTTTAATGATTTTTGGTATTTTACATCTATAGTTTAGCCTTGGAATTTTCCAGGCTTCCAAAAAATAATCACACCTCACCACATACGCGAACATGTAAATTATACAATATTTACTAAACTTTTAAAATAAAATAATTTATGTTTGCTTTTTTTAGTTTCGATATAAAACCATACCATTCGAGTTGTCTCGATGAGCTGAGTCGAACGGACCACTTTTTTCCGGAGATGCCTGTGGCCGAAAACATCTTTCTGATTTTAGCAAACCCTTCAAGAAAATAATTTTACAAATTATATTTTTAAACTTAGCCTGGGAACTTTCAGGCTTCCAAAAAATAATCCAACAAAAATTTTAGCTTGACATGCAAAGTATACTAATATAAATTTATTAAACTTTTTAAATAAAATAATTTATATGTAAGCTTTCCAGAAGATCCAATTTCTTTTTATAAACGAATTCTTCACCTTCTAATAATTTAAATTTTACCTTTTAACCCACGACTCGTCCAGAAATCAAGAAAGTATCAGAAATGGGAACTTCCAGAAAACAAATAAAAACTAGATAATTAGCAATCGGAACTGATTGCTTCCAAAAATATAAGGACACATAAACCTGAAAAAGTTCGAACCAACATTAGAAAAAATTTAACTCTTGTATAATATACAAATTTATTTATATAATATGTTTAATTTTTAATCTTTTGAGGATCAGTTTAAATTTTATTATATTTTTGTGTGCTGCCTACCAGTATAGCAAAAATTAAACGATCATTAAATGGTGGGATGGTTATAAAGCGGTTAGAAACCTTGCTTCGAGAGCTTACGATTATCTATATTTCTTCCACACACATTTAATTAGAGATCAACAAAGATGTGATCTCGGGAACTTGTGCAGTTTAGTTACACACCCCATTTATGCGCAAGGGCAACTAGGTACTAAAACAGTGACCATTTACTGCTAGCGAGAAGAGTGCCGCAAAACCATTAGCGTTAGTTTGAACATGTTGAGCCTCATTTAGCTTGCGAATACATGTTGTGTGTTCTTGATCGTCAAAAATGTTTAAAAAGATCCAATTCAGAGCTCGTTTTCTTAAAAGAGATCGAGTTCCCTTTCAATCTTTTGCTATTTTCTGGGATTCTTCCTATTTAATTTTTGGTGTCTACTTTCAATGAATAAAGTAGGGGATTAAAATATGTAATTCACACAAATATAGAAGGTATTTCAGCTAATAAGCAATTTGAAAAATTAATAACTTTTTACTAAGTTGACAGATTTTAATGATTTTTGGTATTTTATATCTATAATTTAGCCTTGGAATATTCCAGGCTTCCAAAAATAATCAGACCTCACCACTTACGCGAACATGTAAATTTTACTATTATATTTATTAAACTTTTAAAATAAAATAATTTATATGTATGCTTTCCTGAAAATCCAATTCCTTTTTATAAACGTATTCTTCACCTTCTAATAATTTAAAAAATTCATTTTTTTAACCCGAGGATTATTTACTGATACCACGAGATCCCTACAATATCATTTAATCTATTGATATTCCATTTAATCCCTTTAAATCAAAATTTTTTAATTAGCAATCGTATTTGATTGCTTACAAAAATATTTAGGCAACTTGTGATCGATTGAGGATTAGGTTAAATTTTATTAGACCCAACAACCCAGCAACCGTTTACTACTAGCGAGAAGAGTGCCGCAAAACCCCAAGCGTTTGCTTGACCATTTTGAACCTCTTTTTAGCTTACAAATAAATGTGGTCTATTCTTGATCGTTCAAAATTTTTTAGAGTTCGAACTCAGAGCTCCTTTTTTAAAGAGATGAAGCTCTCTCTCTCTTCAATCTCTTACTATTTTCTGGGATGGTTTCTGTCGCCTTAATTTTCGGTTTCTAACTTCAATGAATAAAGTAGGGGATTAAACATGTAATCCACACACAAATATACTACTCCTTTTTATTAAAATAAAATTTTTTCATACTGGTTTGAATCAATTGTGCGAGAATAATTGAAAGAATAATTGAAAAAAATAGTTTATATATTGGTTTAGGGTGGGCATCGTCTGCAAAAATTAACCGCCGCCCTTCTCGTTTTTGGGTCATTCGTGGAAAGAAAAATAGAGGGAGAGATTTGTGCTTTTGTCTGCCACATATTTTTATTTTTTAGTAGTTTTGCTTTAAAGGGGGGAGAGAAAGAATAATTCAGATATTTTTAAACCAATCGCAAATGTAAAAATTGACTTTTAAAGGCGTTCAGTTGACTCAGACTTATGTCAGTAATGATAACTTAATAATATTTCGAAATATATAATTTTTAAATTTAATTTTATTTTAAGTCAAAAAAAATTAACTGGCTTAATTGTTCTTCTTTGGGTTGTTTTTTGAATTTTTTGTAAGTTAGGTTTTCTAACTAGAAAATAACCAAAATAATTCTAATGACTAAGACCTCGAGATATTATTTTTGAATGCCTGAATTCAGGCAAAAAATTGATATCTAAATTTTTACTTTATTTTGACTGTTCACTCAATGACCCACAGAAATATGTTCAAAGCACAGTCAATGCACAAATTTTCAGATCCCTCTCAACCTCTAACTACTTTTTAACTCCTTTTTTAATTCTAAAATATTTCATTCAAGTCCTTCCTTCAAATCCCATTATTGACCAGACCCGAAACCCAGTTCGAGACATGGAACCCGCGCATTTTTTTGTCTCGAACTCTGCATGACTTTTTTCAACACGTCACTTTTTATTTGTTAAGTGATCCATTTACAAATAACTCTTAAAAGTGCCTGTTTTTTCCTCCTCGTAGAATTTTTCAATTTAATTTTATTTTATGTAAAAGTGTAATCACAAATTGGTGTAGATTTGGACTTTTTAGATATTTTTTGAAAGTTAGATTTTCTAACTAAAAAAGAAAAATTGTATTAATATTGGAGCTGTACTGATCCAAAACCTTACAATCCTATCAATCGGAAACTGAATGAATGGGAGGTGTGATTAATTGAAGAGTTGATAAGACATTCAACTCTTTTATTTTTGACCGGCTTACGAGTTAGATATGTTTGGTAACCAATTCCCGAAACACAAAACTTATTTGTCCCGAAAGATCTACAAGCCTTTTTTAATTCAAGCAATCTTGGTATATATCCTAACAAAGACTTATTCTTTAATTCTTAAATTTTGTAATTTGATAATATTAGATAATAGCTTTTGTATGATTTAATAGTTTTTATTTTTATACGAATATGTATTGTGTTGTGTGTCCTTGTTTATTATTTTTGGAAGCCTTAATATAATTTAAGGCAAGAATTAGGAAACGTATCTACTCTAATTTACTTTAGTAATCTTTTTCTAAATCCCTCTTAACCCCTCCAAAACGCCTTTGATCTCCCCAAATCCTTCCGCATATTCGAACTCCGATATGAGACCCAAAAAAATGCTGCCTTGAATTAAATTTATTTTAATTTTGAGTATGGGTTAATATTTTTTCAACCCATTAATTTCTAGCTCGATTTATATTGTAAAATACTAAATGTAGAATAATTAATTATTAATATCAACACCCCCAATGACTTCATCCTCTTCTGGACAACATTTAAAAAGAAATTTAAATATACAGCCAACAAAACACTTACCAGATAAAATAAAATTAAGTAAAAAGCCCCCAACAAGAATAAAAAGTAAAGAAAGGCAACAAACAGCAATTCAAGTTGATGTTGGAAATGTTCACAGAGATAATAAACGTTTGGGTTGGTTTTGAGAATTATTATTATTCAGGGTCTAGAGTTCGAATTCTGGAGTTCACCTCATGCCTGACCGGTCTTGTCCAACGCCTTAAACTGTGGCACTTTTTCTGTGTTAGGCATGGAACATTTGAAAATTTGATAAAAATTGTAAAGATTTGCAAACAAATTGAATACGACAATATAACTTACTAGAGATAGGTATTTTCAAATATCCTGGATCTGGATTCTAGATCTGGATTTAGGTTAGTAACCTGGACTGGATTCTGGATCCAGGAAAATTCCAGACTGGATCCAGATCTAGACCGATCTCTATAACTTAATACTCAAACATGTCCAACTTTATTTGGCAAATTTAATTATATTGCTTCCAAAAAATTACTGTCTTATATACAAAATTTTGGGTACATCTCTAAAATTTTATATCAAATTTTAAAATATAAAAATTTGAATAATTAACATTGTTGCGATAGTTTCAATCCTAGATCAGATTCCTTTCAAATAATTTTTATTCCCCTCATCCCCCCCCCCCCCCCACCATTCTTATTATTCTTCCTCCATTTCTACAACAAACAAATGGTCAATGTCACATTTAGGGTCTGATTCAGGGTGACCATTTCCAAACCACTAAAATAGGGCGCAGCCACTCAAAAATGTGACAAAAATAGGGCAAAATTGGTCAAAAATAGGGCAAAAAATAGGGCATGATTTTAAAAATCAATTAAAATCCCAAATAAAAAGCATTATTCTGTATATTTTCACCAGTTTTAACTAAATTGAGCAATCCAGGCTCAAAATATGTAAAGAGATCAAGTGCAAGAATCAACAAGAGCACTGCTTCAACCTTCTCTTTTAATCGTGGTCCTAATTTTGCTGTCCTAATTTTGCTCATTTAATTTTTAGGGTTGCTAGTCCAGTTCGGAAGATCAAAAAAGTTGAGTGGCCAAATTCGATAAAAATAACAGGCGAACTATTGAGAATTAAGGAAGGCCAAGGAGTAAAATTTCTTCCCTTTTCAGCTATTTCGTTCGAAATGCTAAAAATTGTAGAATTTTACAAAATAGTGAAAATAGGGCAAAAATATGGCAAATGTAAAAATAGGGAAAAAATAGGGCGAAAAGGTCAAAATTAGGGAAAATCCTCTATAAATAGGGTAAAATGGTCACCCTGGTCTGATTAGATTCATCGATTTTAAAAAATTTTTCGGTTAGCTGAAAATGAGCCGACGAACCGAAGGTAAAATTTTTGGGTTTTCGGCGAGACCTTGTAATACAATTGGATAAAGAGAGGGGGAGTGGGCAAAAAAGTTTTAAAATAATTCTTTTTAATTTTAAAGGTGAAAATAGACGACCAAAAATTATAAGAATAGAAAAGCCTCGACAAGAAATTTGTGCCCCTCTTAAATGGTTTTGCTTTTTTATCAATTTTTGTATTTTTGTAAGTTTAATTTTAAATTATTTTTAAATTCTGACCTGAAAAGAAATGAGAAACACTTTCTTATCCGGTCATAATTAAATAAATGACACGCAAAAACCTAGCTACATCAAGAATAAAATAGATAGTTTGGCACCTTTTTCCACACAAGAATCCTCTTATCACTTTTAATTACCATTTTAACCGATTAGATACATTTAAGAGAACATCTGCCACTCTTTTTTCGTGACACCCAACTATCTAAAGAAATTCATATCTTTTGCTCAATTACGCATAAATGACCTTGACAAAAATTAAAATATATTAAAAATTAATAAAGACGCTATGCTCTTTAAATTTTATTAGGTTTTTATATAATTAAATTTTTTATTCGTCTAAAAAAGAATTTATTGAAAATATTTATGGAGAAAAATAAATAAAAATAATTTTAAAATAAATTTAGCTAGGGCTAGAAATATAATTCAAATCTTATTTTTAAATAAATTTTTATTAAATTTTAAAGTTGGTCTCTGTTGCTTGCCTAGCATTAGGCCTGTATTTATTTGTAAATGCTCCAAGATCCATATCAGAACCAGCAGATGTATTACTAAATCCTGCAGTGCTTCTTGCCTCTATTGGCTTAATTTCGGGTTTTGTTTCGATTTTTGGAATGTTTGGTGCACTCAGGGATAATGTGTTTTTACTTAAATTGGTATTCTAGTTAAATTTTTAATTATTTTATTAGAGGGATTAATTAATAGCTTGAAGTCTTTCGAGCATTGTTTGTCGATTAAAAAATAAATATAAAAATTATTTTATAGTTTGCCTTATGTATATTCTTTGGTTATCTTTTGTTGGTTGTATCTACTTGTCTTTTATTTCTATTGGTAAGATTTTTATATTTTGCGTTTTTTTTGACTGGAAGTAACAAATAATAAAATTTGAATGGGTTTTCAACCCATATACACAAAATTAATCTACAAGAAATTGAACTAAAGTAAGATTTTGCATGATTCTTTAATTTGTCTACACAAAAGTTATATTGCATTAAAAGACAAAAAAATAAAATATTTAATATTAAGTAAAATTAATTAGCACGATAAAATCATTTACAACAAGTATAATTTACAATATTATTTTTATATTTTATCAGTTTTATTCCGATGTTTCTGGTGAATCCTCAACATTTATATCTATTCAATCTGTGCTTTTACACTCAATCGCTCGATATCATTCCAATAAAAATTATGCTGATTTTATAGATTATCTTCAAGAACAAGTAATTTCTTATAATTTTTATAGAGTTTACTGGAAGGAAGTAGCCTTTTTGTGTTTAAAATGTTATACAAATTTGTGGGCTAGGCATATTATTGAGTTTCCTATATATGCAATCTTTTCTATCCATCAAATTGAATTAAAAATTTCGATAGCATTCAAAATTTAAATTTGGTTATGCTCAATATTATTTAACTTTTAATAGTATAATTATAAACTGAAAAAAACTTTAACTAATGATGATCAGAACCAACGCGTCGTTTATTTTTGGAAGCTAAACATGATTTAGCTAATCTGGAGAAACATGGCAAAATAAAATGAATATCTGTATCAACCTCATAAAAATAATCAAAAATAATTAAATATTATATAATTTTTTAAAGCTTGAATGTTGTGGGAGCACAACTTTCCACGATTGGCAATTTAGTGAACAATTTAAATGTAACGCTTCAAATCCATATCCCGAACGGTTTTAAAAAATAATTTATTTAAAAGGAAATTAAATTTTCCAGTTGTGGAGTGCCATATTCTTGTTGTAGAAAATCTGTGGTTTCTAGAGCGGGTGCCGGTGAAGTTAACCCTCTCACACCTGCAATTCGCTCAATTCAGTGTTGGCAAAATGCTCAGAAGAAGAGGGAACAGGAATTAGATTCTGTTGGTTTTACTAATGAATTTAACCTAGGCTGATGGAGTGTGATTTAAGATTCTGATTTTCGGGAATTCCTGGATCCTTCAGCCTAGTGTGCCCCGTTATGACCATTATTATGGAGTAAGGCGGTACTTACATTAAGGATTTTGGCACCACTTGTTCTTGACTCTGATATATTTATCAAAATGGGTTATATAAAGACTATTGAATAGACGCCTGAACCCATAGCCAGTTTTGTATTGGAGCCATTAGCGAGAATAAGCATAAAATTATGGAAAGGTGGGATCGATGGGAATGTCAGATTATTTTTTCTTAATCTCATTTACGTCTTCAATTATTTAAAGGATATTTATGTTCTTGGATGTCTTCAGCCATTACGCACATTATTTGATTCACATGCTTTACATATTGGAATGATTGTACTTTCTATTATATTCCCAGTGGTTTGTTTTGAGTTAATTTAAAATGGCCATTGTAAAATAATTGATAGCTAAATATCTTTAGCTTACAAAAATAATTGTAAGAAAAATGGCGCTAAGTCTGGTAAAATAACTTTTTTTCTCTTCTATAATAAAGTCTTAACAACTTATTTATACTATTAAGCAAAAATTGGATTTGGATTTTTGTTTAATATAAATAATCTGTTAAAACATTATAATTAAACTAAACTAAATTTTAAACAATCGGGTCTAAGTTTGTTTATTGTTGATTTATTTTTGGAAGCTAAACGTTATTTAGCTATTAATCATTAAATTTTAAAATTTATTAATCTAAAACAACATTCGATAATTAATTTAAGTGTGTAACTGTTTGTCTCTCTCAGTGCTTAGCACGGCAAATAGACTATCAACACTTTTTACTGCGGAGAGAGCAAAGGCGAATAGCTCGAAATGAGAGGAGAGAAAAGCGTTATTTGGAGCAGAATGGAGGAATTAAAATTGTAAAATTTAAGTTTGATAAGTAGGGAATAGATTTATATGGATTTCCAGCCTATTTCATAGGCCTTTTGGGTCTCTAGCGCCAAAAACATATTTCTAAAATGTTGATAAGGTAGTTTTGAGTTACTAATCCATAATTTCCATATTCACATTTTTGATGAATAGTAAATATTAGAGATTGGACTGGGAGTGTCGTACAAGGATCGAGATCTAGTCTAGGTCCGGTCTATAGTAGAGATCGGACCGTACCGTACTACGGCCGTATTTTTTCGGTTATCGGTATTCCGTATCGGTAATACGTTACGGAATACGGTACGGTAAAATTTTGAAGTTGATCGGTATTTTTCGTTATCGGTATTTTTCGATATTCCGTACCGTTTTACGGAACGGAAACAAAACAAAATAATGATAATACCGATCGATAAAACTGATTAAAGTTTTATTTTATTTTAAGCGAAAAAAGGCTCTCGGCCTTTGATAATTTTCAAAATTTTCGCCTGCGGCGCTAAAAAGGAAGAAATCTTGCTTTTAGGATTTACATATTCTCAAAATTTTCGTCTGCGAGTGTTTATCCCTACAATTTATAAATAAAAATAATTATATTTAACTAAATTAGTTTTTTAAAATACGGTCTCCAATACATGCAAATTTGATAATATTGAGTTACTCTCCTTTTGAAATATCATTTATTTTCCTCGTGTTGTTATTTTTTTTATTTTCCTCACTACTAATTTGCATATACATAACAGGACAACCTCTGAAATTACCAAATTTTTAAGGGAGAACAAAACAAAAGACAAACAACAGAAAATGCTCAAAAACAAGGAGAAAAAGCCGAAGTTATTGTTCCTCTTCATAAATGTTCCCCTCCACGTTCACCACCCAAAGTCAAACCACCTCCTACGCCAAAGTATATATTTAGAGGAAAATATAATATTGTGTAATTTTAAGAAATGATGAAGAAGCAGCCCAACTAGGTACTTCAATTAAAGCTGGCAAAATTGAGTGGAAGGTAAATACTTCATATTTAACGTGGGAGAAAAGTATTTAATTCTAAAATGGAAAAATTGTAGCGTCGGCAGAGGATTGCCGAAACAACCCACCATAATTATGAGCTTTCCCTTTTAGATAAAATTTGAAAATATTAGCCAGCTTGTTTCATGGCTTACAAAAATATAGAAAGCTCGTTTATACTCATCATCATAGGTTGAATAAATTTAAAATTCTAAATACTTATATAATATAAAAATAAAAAATTCTATATTGTGCATATTTTTCTTTAAAACTTTTTTTCTACTAAATTGATAAAAAAATTTTAGATTGGAAAAACTGGACGAAAGACAAAAAAAGAATCTTCTTCTAGAGCTTCCAGTTTCTCCCCTCTTCGCAATCTTTCAATTAAAAATAACAAAAAATGTGAAGGAAAGAGAAAGTCTTCAACCCTCGAATCTGTGCCAAACAATAAAATTAAAAAGCGGGTATTTGATGGCAAAAAAGAACAGCAACATCCAAGCCATAAAAATAATAATTTTGAAAAATTAAATAATAAAAATTGTATTAAAAATATTCAGCCAGAACCGTCTGCCCCTCCAATGTATTTTACTATGCAATTGCAACAACACCATTTTAATTAATTTTATTTTTGTAATTTTTTGTTTGAATAAACAAGTTTTTTAATTATTTTAGCTAGTCTAGATATTTCAAACTCAAATCAAAGAACCCCAATTCCTAAAGCTTACATAGTAGTTTTGTGGGAACTCTACTGTGTAGTTTTCAATATTATAATTAAATCCCGGATTGCCATAATAAAATTTAAAAATTATATTTTGTTTAATATTCTAAATTCACTTTTATGTCATTTAATATATTATAATGAAATATGCCTTTTGGTTTCTGTTTGCTCTGGCAGTTTAATTTTTTGGAAGCCTAAACAAATTCTTAGGCTATTTTTCTTTTCCAATTGCGATTTGGTATATCGCCAATTTTTCCATTTTTTTATTAAGGATGTTATGGAAATTGGTAGATTTTGGAAAGCCTTGCCACAATTCTGTCAATGACAAGTATTGAAAGCTCTCACTCTCGGGTGAACCTTTAAAATTTCGAAAAAGTATTTTATCTTCTTTATTTTCATGGCAGTGAAAAATAATAAAACAGCTGTCATACAATGTGAAATTTTACCTAAAAACTCTTAAAAATAATTAAATTCTTTGTGGTTTTTGTGTAGTTTTAACGTATCGATTTTAACATGTCAGATTAGCCGATCATAAATATTAATTATTGAATTTTTGGTTTGATAAGTACTTGAAATATTTTGGAGATATTGTCCCTTGGAGATGGGTTGTTTCTATATTTTTTGGAAGCATGTACAGAGTTTACAAAAAAAAAAGTTGTACAGAGTTGTACAGAGTACAGAGTACAGAGTTGTCTATTGTACCGGTTCCGACAAGCTTTATTTTTTGGAAGCCTAAACAAATCCTTAGGCTATTTTTTTTCAATTTTGATATTTTTAAACACTTTGAATTCCCATTTGTGGTTACTTTAAATATTCATTCAATTAGATTTTTCTGAAGAGAAATTCGACTTCTTTGGGTATAGCAATATCAGTAGTATATATAGGAGTTTTAAAACATTTTTTTCAAAATGTTTTAAAACCCCCAATATAAAAACTAAAACATTTTTTTCAAAACGTTTTAAAACCCTCAATATAAAAACTAATATATTCAAAATAAAATCTAAAGGTTAAGGACGTTTTTAAAACCAACGTTGCTTAACTTGCCAGATCGGACGCGATGGCACATTTAAAAAGCGGTATGGACCTATTTGAAGGATAGATAAAATTTTAATATAAATAGAAATTATTACCCCTTTTAAACAGAAATAAATTTAGCGACAACAAAAACCAACGGTAGTTAATACAATTAATTAACTTTCAAAGAAATTTATAAAAAAATTTTAATTTGTGATAGAATTATTAATTTTTGAAGAAATTAAATTTTTAAAATAAAAAAATAATAAATGAAATTTTTAAACGAATAAAATTCTTAAATAATAAATTTGAAAGAAAAAATATATTAAACAAAAATATTTAAAGAAAACAAATCTTTTAAATAACCAATTTTTAAGAAAAAATATTTCAAACTTTATTTAAATAAAATTTAAAATTATATGAAATTAATTTTTCTGTTCTTCAACTTCAACATAGTCTAAGCATTCAATAGGATAGAAATATTGGTGGTTTCTTCCGCCAAAAACGCATACCAAGGGTAGTTGGGGATAGATGAGATCTATGTGATGGCGAACATAGAAATATTGTCTAATTGTCACACGTAAATATCCTCGTAATGCAAATACTCGATCAGCGCCCATATTTGTTAATTTACTTGGATAAACTTCAAACTGAATATGGCGCAAATGATTTGTAACCAAATACTTTTTTCCAGGCTCACCATCAGAAAATTCACGTTGTCCAATTCCCGCGGCGGCGATATCTTCATTAGTCGTGCTTGTAAGTTTTTGTAGGAATTGTAAGTTTTCGTTGTATTTATTTCGCATTGCTATGTGCAAAGATTCTGGTCTACATCCTCCATTGAATTTACAAAGTAACTGAAGAAGCGAACCCGTTTTTAAGGGCGGTGATATTTTGGAAGATTCACTTTTTTCTATAGAGGCGTCGCTTGTTCGCATGTTGATAATCTTCCGATATTATTTTTATTTCCTTATATACTAAGGGGTCCTTTAGCAAACCTAATTCCGGGGAGTTCGCCGTTTCCATTTCTTCTTAAATTTACATGTGCCTTAAACACTACAGCCAAAACAAAAATTAGTACCAAATCGAGCACATACGCTATTAATAGAAACATATCTTTATTAGGATTTTCTGAAGGACCTATCGAAAGGGCATGAGTCCTATCAACGATAAAGCAGGCATTTACATTTGGAGGAATTGGTCCATGAAGAGGATAAAGAATATTACTATCGTTTTGCTTATAAGCGTAAACCACACAAAGGCAGAAAATTAAAAAGAACGAGTGCAGCATATTTACTATGTAGAAGCTCAATTTTCTTATCTTATATACTAATTCCTAACGATAATTTCTGAACAATATCTCGTAAAATAGCATCACGCCCCTCTGAAGGTATTGAATGTATTTTTTGCAATGTCGAAGAAAAAGTATTGCCCTGTTTCGAGCGCAGGATGAGGAAGCAAATACAATAATGGCCACATGTATCTGAAAGAGGGGATTGTAATGAAAATTTACTCTGCTTTACCTTGGAAAACCGATTAAGCATAGATTGACGCATATCGCAATTTGGTTCCTCGGCAAATGAGTCAAAATATTCCAAAGTATCTGGAGTATCTGAATAGCAGGCAATCCAGTGCTCACCAACCGTACCTTTCCGCATCGTGTTTGCAACAAAACAAAAAGGTCTATTCTTTTCAATGTTTGGTATATTATTCGAAGAGAAAACACCTAAATATTTATTTTTAAGTGTAGGGTAGCGGTATAATACTTTTTCAATTTGAAGTGAATTCATTTTAAACTGATCCGTCAGTACTTAAAACACGATCTGCATTTATGGACAGTATTGCATCGAACTCGCCCATAATTATCATTTCATATCCATCATCCTTTACGGGATGATTGAAAATACAACGCACAGTCGTTGTTCCTTGCCTGATTAATTCTAGTCCATTCGTATCTTCAAGAGTTGAAGTCATCGGAATAACAAAGAAACAGGATGATTTTGAAAATTCCTTCATGCTGATATCTAGAGTTCTTTGGTCAGTGCTTGGCCAATTATCAAGATCCATACCTACATACATATCAGAATAAGCGCGAACAAAGTTGTTATCAGCGAAATCAAGATCATACGAAACGGCGGGGAACTGAAATCCTCCAAATTCTGCCGAAATTGAGCGTATATTTGCATGTTCAAAAGTAAACGGAGACAATGCAGTATTTCCAGTAAACGCTGGGGAGTTTATAAAACAGATTACTAAACGCCTTGGACACGTACTAGTGAACGTTGCATGCGTAAGTTCCTGACGTCCTTTTCCAAGATAAACACTTCGAATATCTATTTTTCTATAAGCATATTTTGCAGGTGCCTGTTCAAGATGTCGAGCGATAGCATTATTCAAAGACATACTTAAATCGACCTGTTTAACAAAAATCCTCATGTCATGAAGACGAAGTCTGTATGTATGTGTGTTATCTACTAATGAGGCAGCGTTACGAAATTTTGGAGTATGGATTAGAAATTCATCTGAATTTTTGTATATTGTCCAGATCACGTCACTATGCGGAATTAAGAGCTGGTTTTGACGCGCCATATCATAATCTAAATGAGAAAACATTCTACATAATTTACCTTTAGCAAAACGAAAAGCACGAGATTTAAATCCTGATCCATCATGATCATCTTTATCCACAGCGTCCTTATAATAAAGAGCAGCTTCGTAAATGCCTTTACTTACCTCTCGATCTGCGCCAAGTTCATGAAGAATTATACATCTATATGCATAGTGTATACCCGAGTCATAACATTGAACACCATTTATTGAAAGAGTGAGACGACGAATCCATGTAAGACCTAAATATTGAGCAACGCCTGTATATTTATCTTCTTTGAAATCGGCAGCTTCACCGTCTGTGATTGGAACCCACTCCCCGTTCGTTGCATCCTTTCTTTCGATAGATAAAACCAGGCTTAAAAAAGTTTTGCTCAAATCAAGATAGAGCGTGTCACCAAAGTAACGAAAAATGAAAGGCCCTGCAGACTGGTTAAGTGCATTAAGGGGCAGGAGTTCCTTGTATGCGGAACGCTGAATACCTACATTAGTAGAAGGAATCGAAAAAAAGGTCAGACGATTATCAACCCCTTCGGAACTATCTTTATCAATTTTCTTTAATGTGGTCATTTTTTACTTAGAAAAAATTAGTTATTATGCTATACTTATATACTCAGAAATTTTCTAAACTAAGTTGATCCCTATAGCGGCGTCCTTTTTTTTTTAAACTTTCTGTAATAAGTTTTGGTTTGCGTTTTCTTTTACCTTTTCCGCATTGCTGGAGCTTTTTCCCAACTTTTTGAAGACCTTCGCTACCATGTTGCTTCAAGGCATCACTAACTGATCGACCTTGAGAAACATCTTCAAGCACATTTTTACCAACGTTGATTGCTTCTTGGCCGGCACTAGAAGCTAAATTTTTAACTATTGGCATTAGAAAACGCCCTACAGTACCGAACACTCCAAAACCTCGTTGATACCTTGTTCCCTGAAAATATCTACTTTCATCAGTTATGTCGGTATTTGCCCCACCATCTTGCGCAGATAAAAATGGATCCCAGTCTATTTTATCTAGATCTAACGGTACATGTGTCATTTTTAAAATAGAGAGCGTTGAAAATGTAGTGTTAGTATACAGGTTCCCCAATGGAATTTTACTAGTTTTCCTGCTAGGGTACGAATTTCAATAGTAATGTCTGGATGACGTTTACCTAATATACGATGTTGATGCTCGGTCATATATACTTCGGAAATACTATCACCAGGCTTACCAGTTACATTCACAACACGTAATAGTGGAGCGGTTACGTTTCCAATTATACTATTTTCAACGAGCCTTGGTGCATAAACCAAAAATTGACGCACACCTCCAGATATATCAGGCATATATTTTGCCACTTGTCCACTATGAACTTTCTCAGAATCAAAACCAAGAGTATATGCTAATTGTCGGCTTAATTGAATATAATGTACGTTTCCTTGTAAGAAGACATGGAACCTCTTATGCAATTTATCAAAGTGTACTGAAACCCATTGATATTTTGGATCGGCTAGTTGTATATTGGAAAAATTAAGAAGCATTTTTAGATATTCAGGAGGATAGGCATATTTAGCAAAATGCATTTTCTTTACATTAGGATCCGAATCATCAACGTGTATTTTTAACTTTTCTTTGTGAGGTTCTTTTTCCTTCTTTTCATGACTTAGAGGCGCTTTTTCTTTTGTTTTGTCTCCTCCACCGTGTCCAAAGAAGCTTTTCAAAAATGAAGGCCTTTCAGTAGGTTCTCCAATTAACATTTCAGGCCGTGGAAGAGATGGAAGTGAGTATGGATATTCACTTTGGATTTTTTGATTCGCTTCAGGATGATTATTGTTTTCTGTTAAATTTGCCGTTGAAGGCGAAATACTTAGAGGATCTTCTTCTGCCAATGAAGGTGCCCATTGCTCCTTTTCTTTATCGGTAATTGTTTGAGATTGCGGCAAAGCCTTCTCTTGGTCATCATCCTCAGTGTCCACTCCGTCAATCATTGGTTCTTCAATATTTTCTTCGTCTGGTAATGGAGCTTCCCATTGTTCTGCGTCCTCATCGGTTATTGTTTGTGATTCTTTTGGAGTCTCGTCTTCTTCATCAACTTCTGCAATAATTGTTGGTAATTCCTGTTTCTTAATAATATTTTCATCATCTGGTAATGGGGGTGTCCATTGCTCTTCATCCTCGTCGGTTATTGTTTTTGATTCATTCGGAGTCAAGTCTTCTTCCTCTGTTTCTTCTTGTGATTCATATTCTTTATGCTGCTCAATATTTTCCTCGGGTAATGGAGGTGTCCATTGCTCTTTGTTGGAGGGAACGTCATTTTCATCATACTCCTCAATATTTTCATCGATATTCTCTTCTAGTAATTCTTTTCTTTCATCTTCAATAGTTGGAGATTCAGGACTTGTTTCTTTGTCCTGTTTCGCAAGTTCCGCGTCAACTTTACCAATAATTTCTTCTGATAGACGTTTTTGCCCCGCAACAGCTTCTTCAACTTGACTGGCTGCTTCCTTTACCTTGCGTTCTGCGGCCTTAGCACGATCTGCGGACTTTCGTGCATCGGTAACATTACCGCGTGCTTCCGCCGCTTTAGCTTCTAGTTGTGCTTCTGAGGCTCTTTTTCCATATTCTAAGCATTCCTCTGTCCATTTTTGTATTGCAATTTTACGATTTGTTAACAAAGTCAATTGTGCTTTAACCCAACCAATAATATTTTCTGGCGTTTTTCTTAATTGCACCGTTTCCCCTGTCTCCTTTAATGTTATCACATTATCTTTAAGCGCATACTTGAATCGAGCATTTTGCCAATACTTGTAACCATGTTCCATATTTATTTGAGCTTGCTCTGCCAATTCCACACTATTCCTCCACGCCCTTGTAGCTGCACGAACGGCCATATCCAATAAGGTTTTTTGGTCGTCGGTTAGAGAGGGTCTTTCAGCAGGCTCTACGACAGGTGAAAGGGGTGTTATTTTTCCATCTAAAGGAGTTTTGTCATTATTAGATTCTTGTTGCGAATCATTTGTTTTTTCCAATTCGTTTAGAGTTTCAGGACTAAGAGGAGCTTCTGTTACAGGGGTAGTTACGGGAGTCTCCCCTTTTGGAATGTCATCAGTAGATGAAATAGAAGGAGAACTCTGTGTTTTTTCTTTGTTTACAGCAGGCGTATCTTCTTTAGGATTTTCTTTGTCATTTTCACTTGTCGGTAAAGGATCAGGTTGTTGAATAGGCGCGGGTTCTACTGGGGAAAGAAAACTTTTAATTGCATTTATTATTATATTTTTCTGATTTGTTTGCGGCTTTAATCGAACAACAAGGCTGCCTGATACCGAAGATACAAAAGGAAGTTTAGCGTCCT